ATCACTGGTCTTCTATTTATAGCAATTGGATATCAACAAATATGTGTATCCCTCTATCATTACTAATGATATTGTTATTTTTAACCAGAGTTTTTATTGCGATTACATTGTTTCAATCTGATTAAAATCTGATGTATTGTATGGCGTGTATTTCATTTTATATATTTATTTTACTTTTAAAATTTTTTTTAATTATTTTGTATTTTTGTATTTTTTTTAATGTTTTTTGTTATGTACTTGTGATTCGGTATATTTTTAACTATTGCCACATTCGCAATTACCAAAATCAAAAAAAATAAATACAAAAATCAAATAAAATAAAATAAAATAAAATAATATAAATATAAATAAAAAAAAAACTAATAAAAAGAAAAACTAGGATCTTATTTTAATCAGATTGTACATTGTTTATGCTTATTCATATTCATATTTGTAATAATGAAGTTTGTTTTATTACTTTTTGAAAAGTGTCTTGACCATTTTGTCATCTTCCACAAAATAAACCAAAATAAAAAATAAACAATAAAATGTTTCATGTACTGTATTTGCTTTATTACAAGGACATCTCAAAAATAGCACATTAAAACTAAACACTGCATGTATTATATGTTGTACTACTTGATTTTCTTTTATAGCCCTAATTGAAAAAATACTGTCAGCAGTCAAACATGGAGATTGTGAAACTATAGCAGATATATTTTACAATGATCCACAATGTGTTAAACTACTGGAAGAAGTGTTGCCACTTAGAAATAAAAATCAACGGGGTCACGAATTCCTCTGTGATCTCTTACATATAGTTTGCGAATATGGTAATGTGGATATCCTTATGTTGTTCCTTGCCATGGATGTAGATGTTGATTTCACAACTCATAAGGTATTTTACCAACTTATTATTATTATTATTATTATTATTATTATTATTATCATTATTATTATTATTATTATTATTATTATTATTATTATTATTATTATTGTTATTGTTATTGTTAAAAATTGTTATTATTATTATTATTATTATTATTATTATTATTATTATATGAAAGATGAGAAGGATACATGTATATTTATATATTTTTTGATACAACACTGACTTTGAAAAGTACAGCAGTAAAGTCACTAAAAACTACAAAACAATAAAAAAAAATGATTAACAGTAAAAGATAAATGGTGGACACAATTTACAAAGTAACATTTACAAATTACTAGATGCCCTAGCAATAGTAAACATACAAAATAACATTACAATACATGTAAAGTCTAAATGTAAATGCCAAGACATACATCTTCAGTCTTCACTGACATGCATATACAGGAGAGATGTGTTGCACCATGCGTCTATGGTATAAGGTCCATGGCTCCACTATGCTGAATAAACCACCCTCAGTTATTTGTTTGTAATCAGGCTCTGTCACTGAAATATCACTCTAGAGATGGCACTTGGCAAAGATCTTTAATTGACAAAAAAGTGATGGAAAATATGAAAATATTGGTTTTACAGAAATGGATGATCTCACTGGGATTCGTTTTGGCACATAGCATTCCATTTCTCCAGTCATCACAGCCACTATTCGTCTGATGTATGTAACCATGGTAACAGTGGATGTGATAATGAGAACAAACCTATTGGGGTGGGATTCTTGAGGATTTTAGTGGTCATTATCATATATTAAGTTGTAAGCAAATAAATTTCAAACATGGACAATACAATGATCAAATTAAAACTATATTTCATTTCAGAGTCAGTAGAAGTGTGAAATGTACGACAGAAAACATACATACAGTAGGAAAAATAATCAACTGAGAATCTAACTTTTAATAATAAAAAAGAAAATAACTATGATGTATAGTATGATGTAAGCATAACTTAACATTTAGATAGCTTTAATCTAGTGGCTTAAAACTAGCTTAACTTGCTTTCAAATGTATCTAAATGGTATAGAGTAATCATCCTAATTATATCTCATCTTGGTTAATACTACAAAAAATAAGTTGAAATTATTGACGGCACTATTATTGTTATGCCCGGATTGTACTGTATGTACCTACTATATTTGTATTTAAAAATATTAAGCTGTGTGTTGTCATACTCTGTTTGATATATCAGATTGAACACAGACACATACTGACTGGTACTGGGTGATAAGAAATTATATATTAAATATATGTATACAGCTGTACACTAAAAAATCATAAAAACAATTGTTTGACCTTAGACAATGACAAAAAATAGACGATGAATCTCTGACAAGTTTGAATAAAGAATTGTACTCTTCAACACCTTCAACTGTTATGGTTAATCATAAATTGCATGGCCATGTGTTCAATGGCTTGTTATGTGTGTGTACAATCATGGAGCTACTACAGATTGATTTTGAAGAGTTGCACTAAACACAATCATGTTATTGAAAGCAAAATAGCATTTTTTTATACTTTTTATTTTTGAAATTTGATTTTTAAAATCATTGAGAATATCTCAAAAAGTATCCCTTCAAATACAATACATAATTGTTTCACCCTACCGATATGTCACCAAGCAACCAATTTAAGATATGACAAAATTACTCTACCAAACTTAGTGTAATTTTGTCTTTTACCTCCAGACATGTTTTTTTGTACTATATTATAACTATAAAAAAATCTCTTAATTAAATAGACAGGTCAATATTTTTCAGTACCCCCCCCCCATTTATGTGAGGGTTTGTCATTGACTTAATTAGTCCCCGTTCGGACTAATGTTTTGCCCTGTGTGCGTCCGTCCGTGATCACCTGTATCTCGAACATGCATGGACCGATTAAGTTCAAACTTCACTCATACATCACACATTATATGGGACATATGCACATGCATTTTTTTCATGATCCGATTAACGATAGCCGAATAGCGGCCATTTTAAGGCTGAAAATGCATCAAAATCACACATTT